CTATCTATAAATGTGTAAAGCAACTGTCTCAAGAGTTGGGACTGCATCTTCGTTCTTTGCCCAACTTCCATCCCTCGGCTCCCGTGTGCAATCACTCCGTACTCAAACCATCTTTCTGTCTAGGCATGGTGGCTGCAGGCCATGAGGGCAGGATTAACTTTGTGTCTCTAGGGCTAAGACATTACACATGTGCAGCCAATGTTTGTTTAAGAATGAAGACGTCTTCCACAGGGGTCCGGTTGTATCCTAATATTTCTGTATACCGGGGATGACCCTGCTCGGGGCTATGTTCCAAAACCTATTGGTTCAGACTTGGAGCTCTAGAGTTCAGCCAAAGACCATCTGGCTTCCGGGAAAGCGAGGGTGTGGTAAATTGACCAGTAGCTCTTACCACCCAGTTTGCCTTCTCATTCTCAGCAAGAGGTAATCCTGCATTTCTGACTCCACTCTTTCCCACCTGACCTACCTTGGGAGCCAAGATCATTCAGATGTCACCCCAAGGGAACTGGCCACTTAAAGCATAGACTGCTTTGGCAGTAAAACACAGAGGACAACCAACTTGGCATGGGAATAACAGTTAGCTAAGTCAGTGGTAATCTAGGGCGTGCATTAATGACTGCTGCCTGCCATTCTGATCCACGACAGGGGCTGAAAGCCTGCAGATGGTCTGAGTCTGGAGAAGCATTCACTGTGGGGAGTTAAAGATAGAGTACGCTAGGGCCACTGTACTTGGGAGGTTTATATAATCCAGGCCTAAAAGACAGCGCTTGCCTCTACCAGGGCCTTGGCTACCACTGGGGGAGGAGGTGGTACAGGGTCTTACGCTCCTTTTTAATCATTCATATATTGCCTCGGGGATTTGTGAAAGTGGTAGGAGATGGGGGTGGATGGTGCATATGCACCGGAGGAGGGAACACATGCATTATGTAGCAGAGAGCTATTTTTTTTTTCCTCCAAGTTCCTATTCACTTCTATAGACTGGGAAATCCCCTTGGTACTGAGCCCATGACATTTTTCCACTAAGTTTTATATCTTTGCAACAGTATGGCCCCAGTAAAGCCTTTTACAACACTATGGAATCTAAGAGGTTTCTTTAGAATACAGGAAAAACATCATAGGTTATGTTTGTTTTGTGCTAAGGGTTTGAAATAAAGGGTGTGTGTGTGTGTGTGTGTGTGTGTGTGTGTGTGTGTGTGTGTGTGTGTGTGTGTTCATCTATGTGTGCACATGTCTGTGCATGCATTCAGAAGACCAGAGATCCATCTTGGCTGTCATTCCTTAGAAGCCCTACACATCATTTATTTATTTATTTTGGGCCAGGGGTCTCTTCCCTGAGTCCTGGAGCTCCTTGATTAGGGTAGGATGGTGAAGCGGTAATTAATGAGGCAATTCCACGGAGTTTATCTGATAACCAAAGGGGTTTATTTTGGGTTAACTTACAACAAACAAAAGGGAGTTGGTTTCGGGGTTCAGGAGGGGTGAGCTGTGGTCCGACGTGGTTCTCTGGAGAACTCTGCCTTGGCCTGCAGTACCAGCATCCAGCATCCAGCATCCAGGACCACGAGGTAGCCAAGGGAGAGCATTCCAGGTCTTAAGGGGTCCCCCTTGGCCTTGACCCGTGGGTGGTTTAGTGAACCTCAGGAATCCTCAGATGTTCATCTCCTTGGAGCTAGGATTACAAGCCACACTACCATACCTGTCTTTTTACATGGTGCCAGAGACTGCGGAGACCCAACTCTGGTCCGAATGTTTGTGTGGCAAACAGTTTATAGACTGAGCTATCTCCTCAGCTCCAAGATGTTGGTTTTCTTTTTTTTTTTTCCTTAATTAAAAGATTGTTTGCAAGCCAAAGTGAATTGAGAGTAGACTATAATACACATATTTAATCTCTTATTAATAACTTTATACTAGTTTGATAAGCAAGAATCAAGTTATTTTTATTAGCAGGTGCTGACATTCTGTCTCACCTGTTTTTAGAAAAGAAAATGATTCTAAAATCTACGTTAACTAGAACACAGGGCACTGCTCAGGAGCTGATTGACATGAAATATTTTTGTGACACACTGAAGCCCAGTTAAGACACCAAAGATTGTTCAAAGTGTTAGCCACCCTATGAAATAAAGAAAAGTTCATTAAAAAAACCCTTTAGATATCAAAAATTTCAAATAACCTCTGGTCTTTCTATATATCCTTATCCAGTCAAGCCATTATGGTGATGTACATACAGTCATGACGACTAATCACTTACTAATGCCACTTTAAGTGTTAACAATTCAATTGTACAAAATAGTGAAATCAAGTCCATCTAAACTGCACAGTGTCACACCCTGCCTCAGACAATATGCATGATATCATTCCACAGTGGGTAGGACACCGAATTCCAAAGTGCTTTCAGACAGACATTGGATCTTTGGAGACGCTCAGCTACTCTGAGACTGGTACTGTGCTCATGTGCACTTCACACATTTTACAGGAAGCAGGTTGAGCTAGGGTAAGCAACTTGGCTTGCCCTAATCCCAAAGCCAGCATTAAACAGAATCAAGACCTAACCCCAGCCTGACTTTACCTACTCTGTGGTGTGTGCGTATAACCCTGTCCCAATGGGCTCTGCCTGTCGCTTTGAGCTCACTAAAGAACCCATGGAGGCACGCAGAGGGAAGAACAAGTTTACTAAAGGAATGTGGAGAACTGGTAGGCTGCGATGCAGCTACACATCTTAAGTGAAGTTACAGCTGCTTGGAGATAAAACTCAGTCCTCATGAGGATTGCTGTTTGGAGAGAGACAAGAAGGCTGAAGAGAGAGAGAAGAGTATCCAGGAAAGGACAGAGAAGAGTCCCTCCACCCCGGTGAAGTCCAAGAGTAAATAATAATGTAAGTATGTGAGTGACTTTCAAGAATCATTTTAGGGCCAGTGAGGTGACTCACGCAAGTAAAGGCACTAAACCCCCAGAACCCACACTGCAGAAGGAGAACTACCTCCTGAGAGTTGTCCTCTGTCACACAAGTATGTCACGCAAATTTCATAGCACGAGTGCACCCACATACATTTGTATACACAAATAAATAAATGTAAAAAATTTTTTTTTTAAAAAAGAATTATTTGTTGGGCTGTGGTGGCACATGCCTTTAATCCCAGCACTTGGGAGGCAGAACCTAGGGCATCTCTGTGAGTTTGAGGCCAGCCTGGTCTACAGAGCAAGATCCAGGACAGGCACTAAAACTACACAGAGAAACCTTGTCTCAAAAAAAACCAAAAAAAAAAAAAAAAAAAAAAAGAATCATTTTAGCATGATTGGAAAATATGAATATACTCATTCACTGAAAAGCTACTGTATTGACATAGACTGTTGAGTGTCTAATACCATGATCAGAGCTATGAAGAGATTATTATATAGCATTGTCTTCTGTCCTGGGAATGGGGTGGCTGGTGACATGTGCAGGGAAAAGACATTTAACCAAATGATGATGTAACAGGATATTTTATATAAAAGCTCAGAGTAGCTATATATATATATATATATATATATATATATATATATATATATATATATATAGCAGGTGCAATTCATATATCCTTTTCCTCCTTCTTCCTCCTCCCTCCCTCCTTCCTCTCCTCTTTATTATTGAGATTGATTTTATTGAGATTGGTTTTTGCTATTTCTCAGCCACCGCCCCCCCCCCCCCCGCCCCCCACAGGGTTTCTCTGTGGTGTTTTGCTTCCTGTCATGGAGCTTGCTTTGTAGACCAGGCTGGCCTTGAACTCACAGAGATCCGCCTGGCTCTGCCTCCTGGTGCTGGGATTAAAGGCATGTGCCACTACTGCCGCCCGGCTTCCTCCTTCTCTTATCTTTTGAAAGAATGACTAAAATCACTACATAAATGACTCACTGCAAATACAAAAGGGGAGGGAACGTGACAACGCATTCATTTTTGCAGTTTGTACAAACTCATTTGCTGTTTTTCCACGCCGACGACAATGCTTCTGGCATCCTCAAAAATGCGAGCGCGGGTCAGAACCCGCTGGCCCAAGCACCACACACAGGAAGGCACCAAGGATTCTGTTAAATTCCATTTAGAGAAACCACAAGATTTTAAAGCCGCTATTGCCCTGGAGATTTAATTCAAACATTATGGGCAAGGAAGCTAAAGTCCAAAAAGGTAAAATAATTTACAGTCTGCATAATTTGGCTCGGGGTTGGGCCCGAAAGCCGAGTTTCAGGGAGAAGATAGTCTCTGCACCTCAGCTTTTGCTGTACCCTTGAAGGTCAGGCTGGATTATCATTCCAGTTTTGTGTTCTTCCAATTGTGGGCTCCCTGCCCCAGGATAATTCCGATCAAGTTGCTTTGGTTGTCCTTCGCGCCGCCACCCCTCTCCCCCTCGACCCGTACTGTTCTTTTTGTTTTCCTTTAAATCGTCCTCACGGCCGAGACCGATTTGTTCGTTGTTTGCTTGTTTAACCAGTGTCTACAACACCAGCGAAGGTCACATCCACCCATCCACAGGCTCCGGTCCCAGGGCACCGCCACCAATGATGCCCCAGCCAGGAAAAGGTGCACTTGCTCTTCTCCAGCGTCCACAGGCCACGTGCGGGAGGAGGGGCCGCCTTCTGATTGGTTACCGGAGCTTGGCCTGGAGGGCGGGGCCACCCGTCTGTCCATCACCACATGCTGGGCGGGGCAGGGGCGGGCGAGCCTGGCTGTGGGGCAGAGTCAGGCCCGCGGGACCCAATCTGTGCGCTGCGCCTGAGGTGGGCCGCAGCTCCTCCAGTGCGGGCCGCGCGGCGACGGTTGCTGGGGCGCGCGCCGCCCGTTCCTCTTTCCCGTTGCGAGCGGCTGGCGCGCAGGGAGGCGGCCCCCAGTCCAGCCGGGCGCCTCCCACTCTCCGAGCCGCCGGGGAGCCGGAGGATGGCGGCGGTGGCGGCGGCCGCCCGGGAGGAGGCGGTGCGGAGGCCGCGGAGCGCGGCAGCCAACGGTAGCGGCCCGTCGCGGCGGCCCGGCAGCGACCGCGTCCGCTCGGCCACCTGAGCGCCAGCCGCGAGCTGCGTCCAGCCCGCCTCGCTTGCTCGCCTCGCTCGCTCGCCTCGCTCGCCCGCTCACGGCCCGGGGCGGCGCGGACATGGGCGCCAAGCAGAGCGGCCCCGCCGCCAACGGCCGCACCCGCGCCTACTCGGGCTCGGACCTGCCCTCCGGCAGCGGCGGCGGCGGCGGCGGCGGCGGCGGGGCGGACGGCGCTCGGGCAGCCCGGTTCGCGGCCCCGGTGCCCGGCGCGCAGCAGCCCAACGCCTCGGCCGGTGCGGCGGCGGCGGCTGCTGCTGCGGCGGCGGCGGCCTCGGTCCCGACAGCGCCCCGCAGCCGCTCGCTCGGAGGGGCGGTGGGTAGCACGGCGGGCGGCCGAGCGGCGCAGTCGGCCTTCAGCATCCCTGGTGGCGGCGGCGGCGGCGGCGGCGGCAGCGGCGGCAGTGGCCCGTACGGCTCGCAGGACTCGGTGCACAGCAGCCCGGAGGACGGCGGCGGAGCTAGGGATCGGGACCGGCCAGCGGGCGGGGGCCCTGGCGGGCCGCGCCTGGTGATCGGTTCGCTCCCGGCCCACCTTTCCCCGCACTTGTTTGGAGGTACGGCCCCCTGCCCCGGCAGCAGCCTCCCCCAGCTGAGGGAGCGGCCCCCCGCCCCCCCTGCCACGAGGTGAATGGAACAAGAATTGTTTTAAAACAAACTGACGAAACAGCCTCGTGGTTGTAGTTTTTAGTATCAGGAAGTTAGGGGTGATCGGTGGTTGAGTGTAGTTCTGCTCAGGAGCTGAAGGGCGAGCGATTTTAAAGGCCCAAAGCCAGAAGGGACTCACGTGGATGTTTGAGTGTTTGGAAAAAGGAAGTTATCTCTCCTTTGGATCGACTCCTAACAAAGCTGCAGTCCTTGAGCGTCTGTAAATGGCTCTACATACTTACTGGGTACATGTTATTTGGGTGTATGTGTTAACGGGAAGTGTTCTTTACCCCCCAGGAAACTGCTACTTTACATGTGGCTGATGTCAGTACTGCTTGGTTTGAAGCTGATTGTGGAAATGTTGAAAAGCAGTTATTTAAGGAGATAATCTTTACAGTGATCACAACTCTGCCCACAGAGGCAGTAATTGGTCAGGGTCTTTCGAAAAGCCGTGCTTACTAGAGCTAAGGAAAAATTTAGAGGTCAGTTACGTTGTTTGAAACAGGAGAAAGGGTGCACTTTGATTGTAAAAATGTGAACTCAGACCGCACATTCCCACATCCTTGTGTTATGTGTCTGGCATTATACATTAATATTTGTGCACCGAATGATGTAAAATTCGTCCCTTCTGTTTTAAAGACCTTATTCATGTGTTTATAAATGTAGAAATTCTGTTAAGTGGAGAGTTTACTGATCTGTGTTCTAAAGCGGTCAGACTCCAGTGTTAGTTCAAGAATGTCATGTGTAGTTTCCACCATCTTAATGATATTTTGCACTTTTGGTATGAAAGCACTTAGCTTTCAGCTACCTTTATTGTTTTTTAAAGTCTTTTTTGTTTGTGAGGTTCTGGGACTCTAACCTAAGTAAGTTACTGAGCTTGTTAGGCAAGCTCTTTACCACTGAGCCGAACACCTAGCCTGCCATTTAAATAGCTTGCTTTTATAGTAAGTTTTGCAATGCCAATAATTATAGCAGTGTTTCCTAGAATTGAGGTACCTTTAAGTCTTGTTTTTGGAGAAAAGAACTGATCATGTCCATACTGTGATTTGAGACATTGTAGTTTCTTGAAAATTGGAGAGTAATGCTACATTTTAAGAATATGTATCTTTTTAAAATGAAGTTGTCATTAAGCAGTTATGATCGGCAAAAGTATAAACAAGAAAAGGGAATAGGAAAAGTCTCTTTAAGTGAATAGTTAATATCCTCATTACCACTTTGATTCAGTTTTTCTCTGGGCTGATGATTTCTCTTTGACAAGAGTCAGTATGTATGTCTTTATTTTGTTAAAGTAACTATTCAGAGCAGGGCAGATAGCTGGCCTTCCTGCTATTAATTCCTAGAGTTGGAATGCAAGCTGTTTGTTTTTGGTTTTTTTTCAAGACAGGGTTTCTCTGTGTTTTGGTGCCTATCCTGGATCTCACTCTGTAGACCAGACTGGCCTTGAACTCACAGAGATCTGCCTGGCTCTGCCTCCCAAGTGCTGGGATTAAAGGCATGGGCCACCGCCCGGCAGTTTGTTTATTTTTTTTAAACTTAATTCTTAGATTTGTGTATGTAGTTCTTTAGTAGTCCTGTGGAGTAGGAGGACGGGTTTGGTAGCAAGACAGTGACATTGAGGAACCTAGGGCAACTTTTCTCATCCAGATCTGGTGAGGTTGAGTGCTAGGCAGTCCTAAGTCTTCAGTTGTGTGGAATGGTTTTTTTTCTCCAGTTCATTATGAACCATTAGAATATGAATCGTTCTTGGGACATTTGAGAAAAAATAGTCACTCATTTTCCTGTGTTCCTGATTCATGTGAGAAACTTCAGTTGATAAAGGCCTAAAGAAGACCAGAAACGGCCTGTTCTTATGTGAAGATGCATGAAAAATGCAGTGACCTTAAAATCCTTGTTGAGAGAAAAATAGTGAAGTCCGTCCGTCCTTAGTAGCTTTCCTAATGAGACTTGTACCTGTATGCCCGTGAGTGGGGTCATGAGAAAAACTTACAGAAGCACATTTTTAATTAAACTGAGGGTGTAGCATGGATCTTAAAGGGTCTTAATAATAAAAACAAACCTGGAGCCAGGTATTGGGGTGAATGCTGGAAGATCAGAGTAGCAGAACAAGGCACAGCTTCCTCGCCTCACCAGTTCCTCAGCTGATCCTTTCTTTTTTCAGACTGGAAGCCTCTGTGTCCTTATCCAAATGGATCTCAGCTGAAATGCTGCTCAAAACCTAAAAGCTTAACCAGCTAGTTCCTGGTCCTCATGCCTTATACACCTTTCTGCCATCACTTCCTGGGATTAAAGGCTCTTGTTTCCACGCCTGGCTGTTTCCAGTGTGGCCTTGACTCACAGATATCCAGATGGATCTCTGCCTCCAGAGAAGGCTAGGATTAAAGTGTGTGTGCCACCATTTTCTGGCCTCTGTATCTAGTGGCTGTTCTGTTTTCTGACCCCAGATAAGTTTATTAAGGTGCACAATATTGGGACACAATATATCACCACAGGAGGGAGCAAGATGTGGAGTCTTAAATAATTAGACTTGATTCTTTAAATTGACTTCATTTTTATTATGTCTTATACCATTGTGTTTATTCAGTTACAGTTAAAGATTGGGCCTATGCAGTGTTTGTTGAGTTTTGAATTGTTAGGGCATACATAACGGACTCCATCTGGAAATGGAGAAAAAGATTATTTCTAAATTAATGGGAAGTACTTATTGTAACTATATAAAGCATTGATGTTTGTATTGTTTCCTCCGCAGAAAATATAGTTCTAAAAATACTCAGATAACATTCTTTGTAGACTCTCAATGTTATGTATTGAAAGAGAAAACCGAAACTATTGCTCTTTAAATTGCTTTACTCTTAGGAGTGTGGCAAGTAGATTTGTAAGCTACTCTATCGCAATGAGTTGCCAAATTGAATGAGGTTTTCTGTGATGACTTTTGAGTATTGCTTTCTTTGGGATGTATATTTTGGCTGCACAATTCAGTTTTTCAAGACAGCGTTTCTCTGTGTAGCTCTGGCTGTCCTGGAACTTACTATGTAGACCAAGCTGGGCTGCATACATTCTTAATTCTCTCTAGAGAATTAAATAACTAGAAGGGAGGTGTATAACCTAGATATTTCAGCTTGTAGGCATTGAGTTCTCCTGGAGATCAGGATATGGTTAGACTCTATGGAGATCTTAGAGGAAGTAGGCTTGCTTGTTTTTCTTTACTCCTTGTGGTGAGTCAACTACTGTATATTTAGTGAACAAAAGTCATCTCTTGATTGCTGGTAATATTCTGGTCCCATTTGCTTTAAAACTGCTCTCTAAGGGCATCATCTAATATTTGAAAGCCTTGGTATCTTAAGGAGAATTTGTTTGACTTTATTTTATGCCTGCATTTTCCCATTAAGTCGCTGATGTTCATAAAAGCTGTCATAGGAATGGGAAACTAGGCTTCACTGATGCAGCTGTCAAAGCAGGTGAATTAGACTCTTTAAATACCCAAATGAGTGAAGATTTATCTGGAGAAATCCTACGGACTTCAGTCATGGATCTGTGTGTCTGGCAGTGGGATTGTGAAGCGAATTCACTTAAGGCATTGAACCACAGTTCTTTGCTGCTTTGGCTGCTTAATTGTCTTGAGCTTGTTTGGGTGTGGCTTGCCTGTGATTATTTCAGCAGCCTGTAATTCAGGTGTCTCCTGTTACTTACAGTGAAAAAGCCTGGGCCATCATTTAAAATTGAGTGTGTTAAATAAGATTTGTATTCCTAGGGAGATTTATTTAAATTAATTTTCAGCACAGATGTGAGGTTTTATGGAGTTGTTCTCAGTTATTACTTACAATAGGTGTCAGTGTTTGAATTTGGGAAACTAGTTAATCTGCTCTCCATTCTTGGATTTTCTTTTATACAGTTGATAGTTTTCTTGGGGAGGGGCGGAAGAGATGTTGCTGTGTAGGGGGAGCCATACTTGTAACTGCCATTCCTGCCATCCTGCCAAGGGACTTGGATGGCTAATGTTTCTCACTTGTAACATCATCTGTCTTTAAAGATCACAGGCGATGCCTTGTGGCTTACTGAAGTGTGGCCTCTGTCCTGGACGGTCCTGCTTTGGGAACTGTTGGGAAGTAACCTTGAGGTTGAAGAAGAGTGGGCTGAGTTGCACAGGCCGGCCCTTTGAGAGCTGCAGGACTTGGCTGGTGGAAGAGCGCTCTGTCTGTCGTGTGCTCGCACCAGCAAGCCTGCCGACTCCCTTCTGCTTGGTTGCCTTGCCTATTGACCAGTAAGTAGGTTCTTATTGCTGACTGTCCACCTGCCTCTTACTCATCTGGTGCATAATTATATGGAGAATTGACTTAATGTTCTACTTACCAGATTCACTGTCTGTACATATAATCCATGATATTGGCAAATGGGCTAAGAGAAAAGTGCAAGAACTGTTGTATGTAATATAGTACTTTCTAAGATTACTTTCTTATGTAAATATTCCTAAGCATTTTTAAGGGCTAGTTTGTTTAAATTTTGTAGGTTCTGAACTGTTTGACATTAACGTGTTTAGAATGGAGAAACCATGGTACTTTGTGTGAATAAAAGGTTCAGAAAAAACTTGTGTGTTGTAGGAATATTTGTTTTTTTTGTTTTGTTTTGTTTTTGTTTTTGTTTTTTTTCTCAAGATGGGGTATCTCTGTGTAATTTTGGTGCCTGTCCTGGCTCTCGCTCTGTAGACCAGGCTGGCCTCGAACTCACAGAGATCTGCCTGGCTCTGCCTCCCCAGTGCTGGGGTTAAAGGCGTGTGCCACTGCCGCCTGGCTGGAGTATTTGTTTTCTATGCTGCTCACTAGCAGCATATTACAAATATAGCTGTTTGATGCAGTACACATTCGTCAGCTTCTGTGGTTCAAGAGTCTGGGCACAAGCTTACCAGGTCAGGGTG